TTTTGCGTGGATATTTCATAATGGTTTACTCGATTCTGAAGAACACAAACCACATTTGCCGTCCACTGCTGGAATTGAACCACAACACTAAACTAAGAGGTCACCCTCTGAAACTGATAATTCATTATAGCCAGCTTCAATGCCGTAGAAATTTCTTTTCTCTCCGCGTGTGTGAGCCTTGAGACGCCCTTCCTAATTATGTTGTCTCCGCTCCCAATCTGGCGATATTTAAAGAAACGTGTTGACGATGCATTGTCTCACTTACATTTCATTTTATGACTTGTTAACCAGGGGCTACAAAACGTAATCAAATGATGTCTTGCCAAACGCCTAACCAATGGATGTATTGATTTATACTTTTAATACGCGAACATCTCTGCTATTCCGCATAAGCCTATGGTGAGTCCACCACAAGGCTTTTCACTTTATTATGCAATTAGTTTTCGCAATAATTTCCATCCCACAGGACTTGTTAAGCGATGCTTTTGCCCCGTAAAAAACCATTGTTCCATTGAAATCCGGGCAACGCATCAGAAAATCTATTCCATTGTTCCATTGTTGTCCGAATTCAAAACCCCACATGAAGATGCATTACACCGCCTGCGTTGCACTATTTAACCCAATTTACTGGGACACGCAACAACGGAACCAACGAAGTTGCATGCTTGAAATTTGCGCTAAGTTTACGGCTACGCGTTGCTTTTTTGATGTACCCATTTTTGATCTTACTCTCAACTTACGGAAAACTGTTAAGGGTTTGCGTTTGTATCCATGATAAAGCTATTATTCCAATGTTGTCACACGAGAATCTCGTCTCTTCTACGCATGTCCTTGGTGTGTCCGCCAAGGCACGGTTATTTTGGCATGAGCGATTACTTTATCAATAAGTTTCATCTCAGGGGACTTGTGAAACATCGCTTTTTAGCCGGACTACACCATTGCTAGATTGTAGCCGATTTCCGGGGCTATTCTCTACTTTTTGGGGCTTTCAGTAGGGTCTTCGATTATAAGTTTCCAGAAAGGAAAGAAAATTGCAGCTCAATGCTTGGGCTGCTCTCGAAACTACAGATCACCGACGTTTTACACTACACCTTTCCCCATAAATTGGGAAGTGTGTGGCAGCTACATGCTGATCTCGTTTAATTCTCTGCGCCTCACCACCGGATGACCGCACAATAGGCGGATGATCCATACTCTCAAAGGATCGCTTGATTCCATTAGATCAACTACATAAGTTAGACCTCGTTTCTGTTATGAAAGCATCATTAATGTTGCATTCCTCTTATCTCCTACCTGCGATACAGAATTGGTTTGTAAAACACTAAGCTGTTAGACCATGTTCGCTTTCGTGAAATTCTACAACATCAACAATGACACACTAGCACCCTTCAACTTACCAGGAATAATGATGAGTTCACCTGTGTCCCATGTTAGTATCACGCCGATGTTGGTTCAGTTAGTTAATTCGTGAAAGTTCCGAATTAACATGCAATGTTCACTGAGCAAGGCAGTACAATGCTCATACTTTAGATTTCACGTAAGCGCATTGCAACCCACCAACCTCTGAATAAGTTCGTCCGCTCCACCCGCTCCGGACTTGGCGTCCCCGTGACACCATATGCATGACGCCAAACCGGCACCCGCACCGCACAAACACAAGCTTAACTGTGCTGGCGCCTTTGGAGAAAGATGTAGCAGCCACGATCAGATCTGATTGAATAATACACCTTAACGCGATATCACTAGTATCGACACATCCAGCTGCGAATTCTTGCCCTGGGTTGCACCGTTGTAGGTGGTCTGAGCTCATGAACTGCAATCAAGCACACTAATATAATGGAACTTGGATTCATTCGTGGGTGGTATTGAAGATAATTAAATCGAACAGCACGACTATCATACTGTGTCTAGCATAAGAATAGCCGATTATGGGGTTGCTCTTGCATACACAAACGAGCAGCGGAGGTCCCGATTTATCATCGTGATTGCGGGTGGCTGGATTTAGGACAAAAGACCTAAGTGTGTTTCAAATCAGGACGAAACCGCTGCATGTATATAAACCGAAGTGCGCTACCAAAGACAATCTTCTGTGACAGGGTCTCTAGAATGAAGGTAATTTCACTGTGGGTCACAATTTCTAGCAGTATTTGAACTACTGTCTCGGTTGACTATATCACTGTGCTGATTACCACAGGCTTATCTGTCGACAGGACGAATAATCTTTACATCCCCTCCTTGTTGGCTGCCAACATTCTTGTTTGTTTTGCGAACTTCAGCTACAGTGGCAGTGGTGGCAAAAGTCTCATACTGCCTGATGTCGTGGACATAATAAACCGCATTTAGCACACGTGAATGTCACAGTCCCGGGCTACTTCTTAGCTTCGAGCAGACATCAAGAAGTGGTAGCCAACGTGAATTTTCAGGCATTTGTACATTCCGATGATGACCAGCAATTTGGGCAATTTTACACAATTCTTCCAACAGCTTTCGGATTCTTATCAAGAGGTTTTGAGAATTCTGCCGTGCACATGACAACTACCTGAAATTGATTAAACCTGTATGAGTCTCCATATGTTGAATGACATTGGAGCGGGTTAAGATTGCACAGTCAATTTCCACTTAGTGGTCTACTTTGCATCCATTAGGCTGATTTTAACTGCGCAGTATCGGAGGCAAGCGACAGTTTGGCTTGATCGTGTATCTGGACCACTAAACCAACTAGGTCAACTAACATGCTCGCTGGTGTGTTTTCCTTTCTAGTTATCGATTTTTCAAACTTTTTACATGGTTGCCTCGCGCAGCTACATTTGCATATCGATTTGCTTCAAATTGCAGAAGTTGTTCATCGCTTTTATTCTGTTCGCATACTGCATTGGAATTCCGGAGGCGAAGCCCGGTCGAGTCAAGTGTTCGGTCGAATGCAAAGAAGAGAATATGAAATGTGTCAAGCCCTGCCAGGATAAATCATGCAAACAGAAATGTGAAGAGAAGCTGGTCACATGCACGGAAAAATGCTGGGGTTAGCCAAGGATCCAGAACTCACTAGATGATGGTAAAATGGATTGATCTTACTCGCTATTTGTCCTGTAATCCACAGCCATCCTCATTTGTTTCCTAATAATAAATTACTGGTTACTTTCTAATGAGCTACTTTCTCGCTAAATATAAGCATCCAGTACGTATTTCCGTTTTGACAATTGACAATTAAGTTAGTGAAAGCACTGATAGTCCGTCAGAACATAACACTAATTTCAAACATGTAGTTCATCCCAAGCACTTACGAGTAATACTAACTACATTCCACTGATGAGAACAACCGCTGATCGATACGATTTTGTTAGGTAATGCAAACTGGGTGATCAAGGTCCCGGAATAGTAATACGATTAACGCTAGTACGGTTGTTGATGTCGAACGTACTGCTCCACTGTTTTTTCCTGGTCTACTGGGTAAGCATTTCGAGCTAATTGCCAGGTCCTTACGGCACTTATCCCGAAGTAATGACATTCCGATGCCTACCTTTGTCAGCACGCTTCTTTCTACACACACCAATTCTTGTAAGAAATTGGCATCTAAGCTATTGGCTGCTACTAGTCATCTGCTTCACAACGCTTTAGCGTAATATCTGTCAACATCATCTGCCAGGCAGGAGTACAAACTGGTTTGATAATACTGAATACTGTATTATAGAGCAAGCAGAAGTGAATTCTGTACAACTCTTTCGAAATATGGTGATAAACGTTATAAAAGGTGTCAACCGTGAATATCGTTGTCGTTCTCATGTAATCTTCAAAATATCTGACGCACGATATTTCAGGATGCACAAATGTGATATGTCATCGTAAGTGTGCAATCGTTCTCTGAATGGAATAGTGGCGAAATATAAATCTAACAACGTGTTGAGCTGCTGCACAGAAGTTGCCTCAATCACATGTTCAGGTAAACTGTTCCAAATATTTACCACTCTCCGTTCGAAGCACACTGGGTGGGGAACACATTTCGCATCCGGCAAGACAAGTCTGTCTCAGCATGTGTTGCATGGCCCTCGTAAGTGCAGCATTGGCCTTAACATGGGGAAGTCACCGAGATGTAGAATACCGTAGGTCATAATGTGGTCGACTAGCACCCGACGGTAGGACAAACTGTAGAGTCCTAGTTTCTCGCACCGGTCTTCATACCTAAAGCCACGTAAACTCGGGATGAGCCTGGTAGCAACGTGTTGGACCCGTTCGATCTTTTGTGCCTCGCCTCCGGTAATCGGAAAGTAGGCTTGCGAACAGTACTCTAACATTGGTTTAAGGATGGAAGAGAAGAGGCGAGTGGAAACCTCTTCACACCATGTGCCGAAGCTACGTTTGAGCGCCCAAAGCATGCGCAGTCCGTTACGATATAGCGTGTTCGTGTTGTCCACGAACTTCAAATCGTAGCGTGAGACTACACCCTGGTCCTTCACGGAGGGAGGCCCTTGTAGTGTGCCGGAAAAGAAGCCCCTACATTATTTGTAACATTGGATTTTACGGTTGTTTTAACCTTCGAAAAGTCCACTTGTTTTACTGACTGCACATCCGTTGACACAAAACGTTTTGATGAGTACCTCGCTGCACTTTTCTCGCTCTGTCTGATTCGCTTCCTATTCTTGTAGCCTGCACAATATACGTTGGGTTCAGTTGTCTCCGACTTCTATACTGTCGTATTTGACGCGCATTACGTGTCATTGCTTACCGACTAGTATCCCAGGCTCCGCCCAACAATTAGTGACCCCCTGTCAGGAACACGCCGCCCGCCATTTTGCATTTTCATTCTGGTGAGCTCGTTCCGGTGATTTCGTGATTCATTACTTGTGATCATATTGTTTTCTCACCTACCGCATTTTTTATCTGCTTTTTGCACTGGATTATCTAGAGGATAAGCCGTCTCCATGCGCGGTTAACACCGTTCAGCATGTCATGGTCAATTCTGTTGCCTTAGCCCCTTCCCCTTTTCGGAAGGATGATCCATTATTATGGTTTTACACCTAGAATCCGTATTTTATATTCGTAAGATTTCTTCTGATTTCGCCATGTATAATCAGCTAATATCTTGCCTTCCTCAGAGGATATCCTCGCAGGTGAGGGACATCATACTTTGCCTTCCTCTAGTATTGAAATACGAGACTCTTAAACAGGCTATCATTCAGCGAATCACGCCTTCTGACAAGGTCCGTCTGCAGCAACTATTTAGTGATCTGCAGCTAGGAGATAGGAGGCCCTCAGCCTTGTTGCGCGAAATGCAACAGCTCATAGGCACGTCCAACATAGGCGTAGGGATTCTCCTCGAGCTGTGGATGGAACGCCTTCCTGCAAGCACTCAGGCTATCCTTACAGTAGCAAGTGACTTGCCCATCACGGCAATTGCAGATCTAGCAGACCGCGTCATCGAACGGCACAAGCCAGAGACTGAAACCAAATCACCTAAGCAGCTTTGCGCTGGCGCAACCACAACGACAGGCGCGACTAGCCAGCCGTCGGTAATAGGCGCATAATCATTACAGATAGCGTCGCTTCAGCGCCAGATCGAGGAACTCACTTTAAACCGTAAGCACCACAATCGGTCTGGATCATGGCCCCGTCGCACGAAACCTGATGCCACAGGTTAATACTTTTACCACTCGCGTTTCGGTACTAAAGCAAGTAAGCACGTACAGCCGTGTAACTACTCCGCTATAGATGATCCGCCACGCCGGGCTGTAATGGCCACGAACGTCGACAAAGCCCAAAGTCGTCTCATCTACATTAGGGATTATGACTCCGATACCCACTTCTTAGTTGATACCGGGGCGGAAGTCAGCGTCATTCCCCCTATGCCAAGTAAGCCAACCACTTCTCTGTCGATAAGCCTCAGTGCCACCAATGGCACGCCAATAGCCACCTACGGTCATCGGTCACTTACCCTGAACCTAGGTCTTCGGCGCACTTTCCGCTGGGTATTCACTGTTGCTGCAGTCCCCTTTGCCATCATCGGCATTGACTTTCTCAGGCATTTCGACCTCTTGGTCGATGCGAAACGCCAGATGATAGTCGACACTGAAACGAAACTCGGTGTACGTGGCATCACCACCGATATCGCATCTATGACACCGGTCTACGCCTTTCCCCAGACCTCGCCAGACAACGCCAACCTCTTTTCCTATAATTTCAAGCTCATTCAGCCAATGAATGCAGCTTTACCCGTGGCAGCTCAGGTCACACACCACATACGGACGAATGGCCCACTTGTGTCATGCCGTCCACGCCGACTATCGCCTGAGAAACTAAAGGTAGCTAGGGCGGAGTTGGAGCACATGCTTGAACTTGGAATAATCCGCCCTTCTGATAGCCCTTGGTCCTCGCCCCTGCAGATGGTCCCCAAGAAATCTGGTGACTAGCGCCCTTGCGGTGATTACCACGCACTCAATCGCCTAACCGTCCAAGCTAGGTATCCCATCCCACACATGCAGGACCTTACCGCATGCCTCACAGGTAAGACGATCTTCAGCAAGATCGATCTGGTTTGCGCCTATCACCAGATACCTGTGGAAGACAATGACATTCCTAAAACAGCCGTCATCACTCCTTTCGGTTTGTTTGAATTTTTAAGAATGCCATTTGGACTGTGCTACGCCGCACAAACCTTCAAACGCTTCATCCACAATGTTACTCGTGGCCTAGACTTCGCCTATTCCTACCTCGATGATATTTTAGTAGCCAATTCATCGGAACAAGAGCACCTCGAGCATCTTCGAACTCTCTTCCAGCGCTTGACCCAACACGGTGTCACAGTCAACCCGACTAAGTGCGAACTCGGCAAATCAACGGTAGAATTCCTAGGCCACATCGTTTCATCGTCTGATATCGAAGTCCTTCCTGATAAGATCCAGGCAATCAAGGACTACCTAGCTCCGACTTCGTTCAAGCACCTCAGTCGATTTTGTAGTTTGATCAACTACTACTGACGCATCATTCCGCGCTGCGCTTAGCTCATGCAGCCACTGACTGACTTACTCAGAGGAAATGAACGTAAGTTCGCTTTCCCTGACACAGCACAGGCAGCCTTCGCCGAGCTCCAGGATGCTATCTCCAACATAGCTCTCCTCGCTCATTCCAAATCGACTGCACCTCTTTCTAGTACGACTTATGCCTCGGACGTCGCGGTAAGAGCCGTCCTCCAACAACACGTTGGTGGGCAATGGCAACCACTTGGGTTCTTCTACAAGCGCCTGCAGCCAGCGGAATCCCGCTACAGCACGTTTGGCAGAGAACTGCTGGCCATTTACCTAGCGATACGTCACTTCCGGCACACACTTGAAGGCCGCGCTTTCACAGTGTGCACTGACCACAAGCCCCTCATCTTTGCCTTTAACTCTGCTAGCGACAAATACTCACCACGGGAAACAAGACACCTAGACTTTGTCACGCAGTTCACTGCTGACATACGTCATGTCTCAGGTGTCGACAATCCCGTCGCCGACGCTCTCTCACGCGTCAACCTCACTCTGCAGTCTTTGCCTACCGTCGACCTTGCCGCCATGGCATCGGCTCAGGCTCAAGACGAAGGCATACAGCGCACTCTGCAGTCCACTTCGCTGCATGTGCAGCATGTTCCTCTCCAAACCACAGAAGGAACCATTCTTTGTGACACTTCCACAAGTTGTCCTAGACCTCTCGTGCCCGTCTCCTTCAGACGCACAGTCTTTGACGCACTGCACTCACTATCACATCCCGGTATCCGTGCATCTTTGAACCTGGTCACCGAACGTTTCGTTTGGCCACGCGTAAACAAAGATGTTCGTACCTGGGCTCACGCCTGTATTCAATGCCAGCGCTCTAAAGTACCTCTTTACACCCGCAGTCCTCTTGGTTCATTTCCTGCCCCGGACTCTCGGTTCTCAGATGTACACTTAGACCTAGTAGGTCCCTTGCCTCCTTCACGCGGATTCGCATACATTCTTACATGTGTCGACCGCTTCACCAGATGGCCAAAAGCCATTCCCTTAACAGACCGCACAGCTGAGACTTTTATCTGGGTCTTCTTGGACCGATGGGTCTCGCACTATGGATGCCCATCCACCATCATAACTGACCGAGGAACGCCTTTCGAATCTTCACAATTCCATACGTTCTGCAGCTTTTTAGGCTGTCGCCGCATTCGTACCACAGCGTAACACCCAGCAGCCAACGGGTTAGTTGAACGTTTCCATAGACAGCTTAAAGCCTCGCTCTGCGCCTCCTCCGACCCTAGCTGGAGCGAAAACATTTCGCTCGTTCTCTTAGGCATTCGCAGCAGCATCAAAGCTGACTTGCAATGTGCACCAGCAGAGCTGGTTTACGGCACGACGCTCAAGTTACCAGGGGAATTCGTTTCACCTCCCGCATCGTCGGGTATACCTACGCCTAACTTTGCGTCCTCCCTAGCTCAACACATGCGTTCACCACGCCCGACCCCGCCCCGTGAACAAACAAGTGATGTGCAAGTGCACAGCGGACTCTCTACCTGCACTCACGTCTTCCTCCGCACCGACGCAGTGCGGCGCCCTCTCCAGCCTCCCTACACTGGCCCCTTCAGAGTTCTGCACCGGACTCCCTAACATTTTACTTTAGACCAGAATGGTCATCGAACAACGGTGTCCAACGATCGCCTCAAACTGGCTTTCTTTGACGAGCCACTTGCATCTTATCCTGATGCTCTCGCACAAGCACCTGCACCTGTGGTGACTTCCCGAGCACTGGATAGCCCGGAACCCTCCGTACCCCTTGACTCGCAACCTATCCCGTCGCAACCCCAGGTAACCGACCGACGCGGTAGACAGGTTAAACGTCCGGTCCGATTTTCAGATTTTGTAAAAGTTTGCTATTTCCATTAACACGCCTTTTTCGTCTTCAGTGGTTATCCTGCGTCTCATCCACAAACGTTTTACAAAATCGACAAAAAACCCGAAACATTTTGAAAACCTAAATAGCGTATTTGCTTTTGTCATGCATACCATGTTCCCTCTCCGGCGTCAAGCCACTTCCCCGACCCTTGCACACCCCCTCTGAGTTCTACCTTCCATAAACTCAACTGCTGGAGCTGCCAAGGCAACCCTGGAGTGACTCGCTAACCGTCTGAAAGCAACCCTTGAGTGACTCGCCAGCCGTCCCAAAGCCCCCTTCCCCAACCAAGGAACAGACAGACTCCCTCGACCGCAGACACCCACGAACGGATTGGTCTCCAAACGCCGCCTAGGCGTTGCCGACGAGGACGCCGGATTTCTCCGTGGGACGAGGACGTCTGGATTCTTCGTGGGACGATGACGCCCGGATTTCTCTGTGGGATGAGGACGCCTGGATTTCTTCGTGGACGAGGACCGTGGACTAAACTGCGGTGGGGGAGTGACACCTCCCAAGTGCACCGTCAGGTCTACAGCAAAGGCAAGGTCCTGTCGCCCCTTTTTCTGGACGAGCCTGTTACTTTTGCAGTCCGACCAGCCCGCTCCGACGGCCCACCGATGATGCACTCTGGTCCACACGATCATCATAAAGAATAAGTAACCAAAGCCTGGACCCAGTGGAATGTGTTACACACCCCAATTTGGAAGCCCTTACTCGATCCCATGCAAATATTCGCATTAACCCTCACCTTCCGTTTCCCCCACTAACAGCTCCATCGAAGGCTTCCATTCTTCAGCCTTCTAGGGGGAGGCCCTTGTAGTGTACCGGAAAACATGCTGTTTCATTGTTTTGTAACATTGGATTTTACGGTTGTTTTAACCATCGAAAAGCCCACTTGTTTTACTGACTGCACATCCGTTGACACAAAACGTTTTGATGAGTACCTCGCTGCACTTTTCTCGCTCTGTCTGATTCGCTTCCTATTCTTGTAGCCTGCACAATATACGTTGGGTTCAGTTGTCTCCGACTTCTATACTGTCGTATTTGACGCGCATTACGTGTCATTGCTTACCGACTAGTATCCCAGGCTCCGCCCAACAATTTCCCACATATACGTTGATAGTTCCTTTTGACTGCCTCTTCAGGGATCAAACATCCATGTAGCAGAATGCATGGTTTACTAGCTGAGAAGTTAAACATCCATGTGTCGCACCATTTCCCAAGTGAATCCAAGTCTTCTTGAATGAGCATGATTGCGCTGCGTATTTGATCTCGTGGAAATTTGCAATCAATCCTTGTGTCATCGGCGAACAATAATGGCCTGCCATGTTTTATGAACACTGTGATATCCTTAAGATAATATAGGGAAAAGTAACGACCAAGTACATTCGCTTGGATGATTGGACGTGGGGAGGAGTTATGATTACCCAGAGTGACTATCTGGTAACGCCCATTTAGGTCTAATGTCAAGCCAACCAAATAGTGGGACTATGATTCAAAATGAATCGATTCTTTTCAGCAACCGCTTGTGCGGCACTCCGTCGAATAATTTTTGCATGTCCAGTAACAGCATTAGAACCGCATATTTGGAGTCAATAGCTACTGTGCTATATTCCCGGCAGTGCAACTA